TCAGACTCAACTGTTGCACAAGAAATGTCAGAGATTTTTTTTAGGGATCCAATATAAATAATTACACTTCTATTTGTTAATTTTTAGCAACAGGAATGCTATACAACTGGACATCATTCTTGCAGCTGCATCTGAAAGTATTTGAAATAGTACAATGTAGAGCAAATATTTGCTTGAGGTCAATGCAATTTTTTCCATAATTATCAAGTCATTTCAGAGTCAAATTTTAAGGCTGCATTTGCCAGACTGCCAGAAGAAAAGCCACTTTTACTGAAGAAGGCCTCACACGCATCTTTGTGCAGCTCTGCAATATCTTCTTGAACATCAATCCAAACAGACAGCTCTCTTTCACCACTGCTTTGAAAAGCAGTGAAATGAAATCTGTGCATTCTTCTGAAACCAACAGGAAATTCACGCTTTTAGCTCCCTGCAAACTCAGGGTAGACACAGCTAACATGGTCTGAATGACAGAGATTTTTTTAGAGTCTCTCTAAAACCAGAAAAGCCAGTTGCAGGATTGCAGATATTATCTGGAATTAGAAGGAAACCAGTAAAATCCACAATCTCTTAGAAACCGAGAGGATGTGCTTAAGGAGATGAGAGCAAAATCAATTATGTTTCAACTAAACCAAGTTTGATAATTAGACATTAACAGGCAGATGTCAGTGCAAAAGGCTGAGAATGTAGTTTAGGCAGAAAAATACAACAGCTAGGGAGAGATGCTGAACTAGAGATGGTTCATTCAGATGGTTCTGTGCATGAGATCAGCAAAGACAGAAATGGGAAAGAAGTCAAGAATAAACTTAGAATGGCAGAACAATTCAAGCTGGCTGGGATTTTGAGAGGTCGCTAGCCCAACCTGCTGCTCAAAGCAGGGTCAGCAAGAAGATCAGAACAGGGTTATCTGGGCTTTCTCCAGCTCTTGTCTTAGAAAATCTCTGAGGATACAAACCGCACAAGCTCCCTCAGTAATCTTCTCTCATGCTTGACTGATCTCTTCATGAATTTTTCCCCCTGTAAATATTCAGAAGTTCTCACTGCTACCTATGCCCATTTTCTCCTGCCCTTCTGTCACTCACCACTGCAAAGATTCTGTGACTGTCTTCTTGACAACCTCTATGCAGGTATTAGTAGGCTCCTAGAAGGTTGCACCTAAGCCTTTTGCTCATTTGTAGGAAAACATGAGATTAATAGGAGATGAGAAGCCTGCTGGGGGACTGAAGAGAGGGAAGAAATAGAGCTAGGGAGGGCGAGAAAAGAGAAAGCTTCTGTGATTTAGGGAGGGGATAGGCTCCAGAGTTATCTAGAAGAGCAGCTCCAGTGAAACTAATGATGCAAAAGGCAGAACAGACAGTGCCTGACATGGAATGAGAGGCCAGGACAACCAGAGCAAAACAATGATGTAAGCTATTAGCAACAAGGCTGAAAAGAGAGGAGCAGGTAGATCTTGTGGGAAGTTCAGATGGGCGAAAGGAGAAATAAATGAGTAAATAAGCCCAGTGAGCTTTACTTCTTGGCAACAGTTGGTTTTGGCTGTCTGCAGCATGACTTTGAATCATCAATTCTCACAGACCCTCCAGCCTAGTTCAAATCCCCAAAAGGGCCTTTATGCTCACAGGAGGGTTGGAGGAAATACCACAAGGACCAGTGACCTCACAGCAAACCAGTGACATTTTAAACCAGATATTGGGGCGCACACAGTCCTACAAACCTCTGCACACAGTGTTTACTGACTCATTTAGGATTTAGAAGGCTACAGAGCTGTATTACTGAATAAAGACTTTTTTTTGGAGACCTCAGTCAGCCTCTAGATTTATAGCAGCTGACAGTGATTCAGACACGCTGAGCAGTCAACCTAGATGCCGTCACTGCAAATGAAATGAGAAGTTGTGCCAACTAGGCCATTGGTGTCACGCCGAGAGACAAGACGAACTCCTCTGACCTTGCTTTCAATAACAAGCACACACAGCTTAGTAGATAGACAATAAATACAGGAACTCCTCTTTTCTCCTTTTTCTTCAGAGAAAAAGATTCAAAACTCCTAAGTCATAACTGCTCAACTGCTCTACTTCTGTCATCAGAAATAGCACACTAAAATAGAGCCCAGGTCTCTGGACAACACAGACATCATGTCCTAACAGTGACACCCCACAGACTGCAAATGAACTCTCAGCAAGGACAGCAGAAGGCTTGGATCCAGACACATCTGGTAAGTCTTCCCATACGGCCCCTGCCCAGACTTTTCCAACCACAGCTTGCAGCCTGCTCATGAGCTCTGAAAAGCTAAAAGCAAGCTCCATGCAAACATGACTGTCTGCCCAGTTGACTTTCTGTCCCCTAGAAAACCCCATGGAAAAATTCCTCTCATACCTGTCTTGCACCACCCCTGGTTTGTAATGGATTTGCTCAGAATCTGCCTCTGCACTCCCATTTCCCACAGCAAGTCAAAGGAGGAAACAAGCCAAGATCAGATGAGGAAGGTCTGTCTCCCAAATATTTCTACCTTAGTCTCACAAGATTCTCTCTCATTCTCATGGACCAGTTGTTCTTGAGAATGGTATGACTGATGCAAGTCAACACTTACTTAAGCAAAAGGGAATTACTGAAGAATAGTTCATTTTTGGGGCAAAAGAAAAATAAATTCGGTTAAAACACAACTGACAGAAAGGGTAAATTTCATTGGATCAAATCTAAAACACATAATTCTACACTGTTTTGACTGCTTTGTTTACTAAGAGGACCAGTGTATTTCCACTTTTGGGAAAAGGACTGACGTTTTCATGCTTTGAAAGCATCATGAGAACAAGTTTGTTTGCCAAGCAGATTTCGTTCTACTATGCACTTAAATTATTTGATTGAGTAAGAATCCTATCACAGACTAATATCCAACTTTCTTCACATAAGAAACCAGAAATAAAGATCTTCTCAGTACCTGAAGGGTTTCACAGCTTTAAGATAGCTAATATCCCAATTCCACAGCAAAGCATCACATTTCTGCATCTAGAAGAGCATGATCTATTTTTGAAGGCTGAAGGGATGCAAAGCACTTGAGTTCTAGGCCTCAAAAACCCACTAAATAAAATAAAAACACGAAGAGTGGGTTCACAGAGCAGCTATGCCCCATTACGAATAAAAACCACTTATCTAAATTTAGACAGCACTGGATCCATTTAAATGCCTGTAAGAACAGCATGCTACTGTCAAACAAGAACACAAAGCTGTAATACAATGTACTGCATTCAGAAGAGCATTGATTTTTTTTGCCCATCTTTACAGAGCAAGGTGCACGTGAATGACAGCAATGGAAAAAATAGTTAGCAGACAGGTCCTGCATCTGCCCAATTGAGCCTTCTGCTCAATCCCAGGGCAGGCTGTGTACTATTTAAAGGGAACAGACTGATGTACGAGGGCGAGATTGTATTTCAAGTTAATCATTACAATCCATACTTTTCTTTGCACTTATTTGATTCGTGGAATTACGTCTTTCAATAAAGGTCACAAGGCATGAAAGCCAATTAAGTCTGACACGTACGAGTGGATGTCATCCCATCTTCTTTCAGGGATGCAAAACTCTACAGTTAAACAAACCTCATTATCTTGCCTCAGATAATGTCTGAGATGACGCATCAGCCTTTGGCTGCCAAGTGACCTGTGCTTCTGTCACAACAGCCAGGGCACCACATGAGAGCAAGTCAAAAACATCCTGTCCATTGAGAACCTCTGGCTTGAGTATTTTAGCAGATCCCAGCTGTCTAGGTGGTCTGAGATACAGTCTCACAGATAGAATAAACAAGGCAGAAAACAGATTTCTGAAGAAATTGCTATTTTTATTTGCAGGCAAAACTTTAACAACTTCACTGCAACTATTTACTTACCAGCAGTCAAATGCACTCTGCAACACTGATTAAACAGAAAGCAGCTAAACATTTATGATTTGGTTCTCAACACTGGAATGGCATGGACAACAACTTATACTGTGACTGCCAGAAATATTCAGAGTCCACACGAAAAGGCAAGCTGTTCAACTTCTAACCATGTTTTCTAAAGCTAGGGTTTTATTCCTCTCGTTTTCAGGAGACTTGCATCTAATTAGTTACCTAACAGTAACTAATCAGTTCAGAAAGAGCTCTGTATCCCCTGTAAGTGCATGTCAAACCCCCTCGGCAACTGAGAAAAAGACACAGACCTACGTGACCTGTGATAGGCTTTACCAGCAATTCAGCTGGCTGACAGCAACTTGGCTGAAGCACCACATCTGAGGATAACCCACATTTTAAGTGTTCAGAGAACTTTGCTTTCTGACTCCTTCAGCTTGACAAACTATTTTAATTTATTGGGAGAATTTGGTGTAGATGAGCATAACATTCCCTCAACAAACACAAATGTGGCTCTGACAGATTATGACACTTTCACCCCTTGCAGTCTCAGTGAAACATTTAATATTGAAAGCTTAAGGATTTTTATTTTTTTTTAAAATTAAAGTCAGTATTAACTATTCAACTGTGATCAGTTTGGTGGCCAGACTGAACATAGCATTAAGTGTGAAAGCCATGAAACATAAGAATTGAAAACTGGCAGGGGGAAGAAACACACCAGAAAGACTGCAGACACAAATGTAGGTTGGAATGAAAAGAAAAAAAGAAGAAAGTAATGTGATTGCTCAAGTTAAAAAGAATTTCTGAGACACAGTAAATGTGAAGAACAACAAATACACATTTAAGATTTTACAACTGTTGATAACAAACCTCTTGTCATTCCTATAAGGATGCATCCAGTATTCCCAATCCACACCAGATACGTAGCAACAAAATCTAGTTCACAGACCAGAATCAAAAGTTCAGCTTTCACCTACATACACTGACCTTTCACATCATCATCCAGGCACTGCTGCTCATTTTCTTTCTGGTGCACGTTGCAGATAGCTAATGGGTAACAATGGGGCACAACTGCCAAATGAAAGGATATCACAGATCAAACCAAAAACGTGTAGCTTTGCTCACCCTGCCATCGCTTCCAAATGGAGCTGGCCAGAAACTGTAAGGAAGGTGGGCACATTAAAGAAGTGGTTCTTTTCCACAGATTCTTTTGCCTCCTGTGATGTCTGCAAATAAAAAATCCACAGTTAGTCTATCAGTGTTTGAATAAAGATCACAACACCCCATTTCTTTTTTTTTTTTCCTCCTAACAACTTACATCACAGTCCACCCAAACACCTCTGAGAAGGAACCCAACAGCTGTAGATGATGTTACCCATCTTTGCTCAGACAACTAACAGGCTCTATAAACAATTCAAACAAAAGACAGGAAAACAAAAATAACCCACGTGATAAAGTACTCTCGGAGACTTCTCTTTGTAGGGCTTTGAAGCACCTGAAGTGGCTGCATAGTAAAAAGTCAAACTCTAAGCTGGAAACAGCACATCTCCCCACTTCCACTTTCAGTGATTTATGAAGATGTGGGTTGGAGGTATCACAACTAACAGAACAAGTGAACTGTTGCACATTCCACCTGTATCACCAAGAAAGTTTAGACATGTCAACACAGAGGAAAAACAAACAGTTCTTTCAGATATTTCTCAGTATGAGAGGGATTGTAAATTAGATGCAATTAGTTTTATCAGTTCAGCTGCAGAGAAGTAACTCACTGACGTGACACAGCTTCACAGGGCTTGACCATCAGCCCAAAACTTCACCAACTAAAAGAATTCATGAGTCTTCCCTTGTCACTCTTGCCTTTGTATGTTGGATATATATGTCAGGAGCTCTGAATTTTACTAAAAGTAAACAACTATGTAATGTATGTATTTAAATATGGGTGAGTTGAAACAGAAATGGCATTGCAGAAAAGAAGGAGATGATAAAGCAAAGTAAAGTAAAATAAAGTGACAAGAAGGACACCTGCACCATTTAAAAAGCAAGTCAGAGAATACAGGCGGTGGAAGATCAGATTTTTTAGGATCGCCTCTGGGTTTTAGCTCCAAGGCAGAGTAAAACATTTCGTAACTAAAGGCTCTGCCCATCCAGGAACTTGGGAGAAGGTGGAGAAATGATGTACCATGTTTATAGGAAATAAAAACACACAGTGAAAATTGTACAAACTGGATCGTCTGCTGAGCAGCTCCCCTAGGAAGACAGGCTGAGGGAGCTGGGCTTGTCCAGCCTGGAGAAGAGAAGGCTGCAGGGTGACCTCATTGCAGCCTTTCAGTACCTAAAGGGAGCCTACAAACAGGAGGGGAGTAAACTCTTTACAATGGTGGATAATAGAAGACAAGGGAAAATGGTTTTAAGTTGAAGGAGGGAAGATTTAGGCTGGATGTCAGAGGGAAGTTCTTTACAGAGAGAGTGGTGAGGTTCTGTAACAGCTGCCCAGAGAGGCTGTGGATACCCCATCCCCGGAGCTGTTCAAGGTAGGTTGGATGGGGCTCTGGTCTAGGATTAAATGTGTAGGTTGGTGGCCCTGCCTGTGGCAGGGGGTTGGAGCTTGAAGATCTTTGAGCTCCCTTCCAAGCCATTCTGTGATTCCATGACAATTTGTTCAGCAACATGTGTATCAACCGTGTCTCTAAACAGAAAACTCTATTTTTCATTCTTTCCTACCAAGAAGAATAATGAATGGGAAGAATCTCTACCGTTACGACGGTCAATAGCATTTCTTTCAAAATTCAATTTCAAGCCTATTGAAAAAGCAGATGAGTATTTTCTATGCTGGTACACTCCTTTAACAACAGTTACAATCAGTGCTATTTCTTGTTCATAGACAAGTGATTTTTTTCCCTCACTAATAAAACAAAAACCAACAGCAAAAAAAAAAAGCAATGGAATATCCTCTTAAGGCTTCATTGTTTTTCAGTCTCCAGAAAAGAAGAACTACAACAACCTGGATTTGGAAACATCACAGCACAGACATTGTATAGGCACTGAAAAATGTTTCATTTCAGCTTTTGCCCATTAGTTCTGGTCTCCAGATATTTAAGTATAAAAAACTACATGTAATGGAAAATTTAGCAAGTTCAGCAATTACGAAAGAAGTCTGAAATAAATTCCATTCAAGTGAGGCATATTTTCAGGTTTTAATTTCCAGGTATGAAAGAGAAACTGAAAGACCTTTGCAACGACACCTTCATAAATCATTTAAAAATTATGCTTCACTATTTTCCTGAAAACCAAGCAGGCCCAAAGACAGCAATGAGCCCTTGGAGTGAAGAAAGATGCAGGAGTACTCATGATAGATGATAATGCAGTGAGTCCAGCAAAGGTGATGAAGGAACTGGAACATCTTTCAGATGGGGAGAGATAGAGAGAGCTGTGACTGCTCACCTCGGAGAACAGGAAGCTCAGAGGGAGCGCATCATTGTCCACAAATACCAGAAAGGAGAGTGCAAAGAAGACAGTGCCAGGTCCTCTTGCAAGCGGTGCCCAACCACAAGAAAAGAGAAGATAAAAACACCGTGCCATTCGATCTGAAGAAGTTTTATTTTTTTTCAAACAGTGGTATGGACTAAGGAAGCTCCGGCTGCAGAGATGTTCAGAATTCAAGTGGACTCAGCCCCAGACAGCTTGTTCCACCTGGCTCTGCCTGAGCAGCAGTTGGACTATGTCTAAAGGTAACAATTCTGTCATTTATTATTTACTTTTAAAAAAAAAACCAAAAAACAAAAAACAGTAAGATAAATGAGATCACAGCAGCATCTTCTGTATCTCAACATCATCCCTAAGCTTTAGAGGAGTCAGTGGTTCAGGAAAATGAAAGAAACTCTGAAGATAATTTGAGGCTTTGTTGATCTATGTTCACTTCAAAATGAGTACTTTCTTCTGAGACAAATTTGAAATACTTTTTTTCAAAGAGTAGATCCTAGAATTTTAAGCTGAGTGCTACCAGCTCAACAAAGCGCACTACTGCCTCTAGCCACCCTGCTCCTCAGCTTGCTTTGTCATGGGGAGGTTGCTCAGCTCAGGCTTGTCTGCCAGCCTTTGATATTCTACAACATGCCATTTTTCTCAATGAGTTGGAAGATGTTGCTTTTTTGTTCTTAAAAAGCTTCGCTGCTCATCACAAAGATTAAAAAGAAAAAAAAGAGACTGTCAAAGGCCTCAGATCATAGAGCAGTTTTATCTCTTTACATCATCAAGCTAAAGAAAAGAGCAAGCCTGCCTTGATACACAAAGATCAATGGAAGTAAGACAATTTGTTGCTGCAACCCCAGGACGGCTTCCTTTGTTTCATAGGTTTTGTAGTTCTAAAAAAGAAAACAAGGATGCAGAAGCAGGCCCCTATTGTTTTCTTCAAATAAATCCAGTGTATTTATTCAAAAACAATATGGATATTAATAAACATTCAAGCATCCACATACCACAGTCCCAGAGCCATGCCCATAGAACCAGAGAGAAGAGCCGTGTACCACCCCAGCTCATCCTACTGGAAGTTTAGTTCAGTAACATTCCTTATCCCACCAGTGAAAAATCCCACCTAATCCTGTAGGATGCAACTTCTAAACAATGAGAAAAAGACAGACTAGAAGCAGGAAAAGAACAGAAGAAATCAGCCATGAAATCTCAATACTTCCCCCAAAGCCACAAACAGGATACAGCTGCCTCCAGGAGCTGGGCCCTGGTTTATTTTTGATGACTTTGTGTCATTTTTCATTCTTCATATCAGATGTAATTACAGTGAGGCAAAGGGAAAACAGACACAACAGCAAGTGACTGAAGGAAAACTGAGACACTACAGCTAAACTAGATCTATACAAACCAGCTTGGTAGATCCTTCAGGTCCTGAGATGTAAGCATGCACTGCAAGAAGCTGCTAGGTTATTTCCAACAAAAGTTGGAGAGTGAATATGGCAACTTAAATACAATTTTAGTCCCCATTCCCAAGTGTTCACTTTCCCCCACTCTGAAGCACAATCTTGACAAATGGGTGCTGTGAATTTGGAAAAAAAGAAATAAAAAAAAAAATAAAAAATCACCAAATCAATCCACTTGCTATCTGGAGAAGATGACTCCCTTCTCCTTTGGAAAAGGGCAGAAGGGACACCTTCAGCAAGGAGGTGTTCTGTAATCAACAACTTCCCATTTCACACATGCAAATATTGACAAACCCACCAGAAGTGGTTCCTCCACTCTATACATACAAGAACAGGCTAAGGCCAACGTTCTGAAACATTTATGGCCCAGATTTATGCTCAGCCTGCTTCTGTATAATAAATAACCCCATTCACAGTGTCATCTCTTTGCAGATACAGAGCAAGGTTGTTTTTTCATGTTCATGATGAGGAAAATGAAGCTACAACCTTGTGCTTTTATTTCAATTAGATGGCTTTATTTCCCACTTCCACTCAAAAAAAAAGAAACACAACACAAAACCAAACCTACCTGTTAGAAGCCAGGGAGGGGAAATAATGTGTTTGCTTTAAAGTTCTCTCCATTTCCTAATCAAAAACTCCTCTACTTACAGTGAAGAGAGAGGGAGGGGGAATTTGTATGAAACATCTTGGTGTTTCAGAGTAAATGCACTATAAACATGCTAGGATTTGACATCAACATCAAAGGCTTTTTATTTTCATTCTAAGTACGAGAACAACTGGATTTAGTACCTGTTTTGTTCTCCTTCTCAAATGTCTAACGATTTAATTTAAAATTATTCACTTTGATGTCAGTCTTGTATTAACTTCTACTTGAGGCAATTTGCTTTAGGAGAGTATAAACCGTTTGATTCTTCTACTCTACATAAGCATGAGGGGATAGGAGAATGACTTTTAAAGCTCACAGAAATCACTGCTCTAGCTCTAGAGCAGGCCCACAACAGCACACTGCTGAAGCTTCACAGTAACACAACTTCAATCCAGCCTACCCTCTGTGATGCCCTATTACAAACATGTGTGGGTTTTCCTCTTTAGATAAACTGCAGAATTTTTAACTTCAAGGAAGGCCTCCTTTCAATTCCAGCCCTAATTCTGCTATGGCTCAGTGGGAGTCCAGCTGATCAGCTATTTCTACTGCAAGAAACATCTCACACAAACTGCACTGGAATTAGAGACAGTGAAGAGCCAGGTAAAGAAAAACATAAACCAGGAGAGCCAGGGAAGATGACAGCAAGCTCTCCCTCAGCTCAGTTCCAGCTTATGCTGAGCCCTGCTGAGCAGCTCTCTTGAAGTCCCAGGCTCCCAGGTACTGGCTGCCTCCCAGACTGTGACACATCTCTGAAGGGGAAACACCTGACGGATGCTAATCCTGTTGCATTTAACTGTGCTTCTCTTCCCAGCAGATCCCAGCCTTTCTTGGTGCTGACAGGGTTATTTTTCAGAAGGACTGAAAGTACGGTAGGAGTAAATTTCAGTAGCAGACACACATTTCTGGTTCCACAGGACACACAGCCATGAACTTCACTCTTCAGGGATCCAGAATTACTTCTTCTCTATGAGCAAGTGGTAAGAAAACCAAACACTATACTCTCTCTGGATACATTTTGGAGAAGAACAATACTTGGATGGTTCTCAAGTTTTGGAGTAAAATAAATATTCCTTCATTTAATGAATTAGTCTGATCAGTCAAGCACTGATGTCAAATGCAATGAGGTATGTGTGTGGGAAGAGATAAATCTGATACAGAAAACATATTACCTCCACTGAAGCCACTATGTAGACTGCACCTCTTCTCAGTAGAACATTGCTGCAGAAAAGAATAAGTCTGCAGGCAACACCAGACACAGGTGAGATACACTTCAAAGAGCTGTGGATGCCAATTGAACTGTCATGCTAAGTGACTGCAAAGCTCTTTTAACAGGCTGAGTGGCAAGGAATATGGCTGCCCAGGGTTTTATCAGAGCATTCCATGTCAGGAAAGCTCTTGCAGAGGGGAAAGGAGACTGCAACTTCCCCACAGCAGCTGAGGACAGTCAAACAAGGCAACTTTCCAGAGAGCAAAGTCAAAAAGACAGAAGGAGACCCAGAATGTACAGAGTCTTCAACATTGCAGACAGAGTGGGAGGCTGCTGAAAATAGCAGGGAACAGACACGCAGCTGGGTCACAAAGACAAAAGGCAGGCAGATTTCCTAGGGAGCAGCCCCAGAAGTAGACTGGGTCAAGTTTATTGCGATATACAAAGCTTTTAAAGGATTTTAGACTTCAGTAGAAAAAAAAAAAGACAAGGCAAGGATCTCCCCTAAGGTTCTGAAAGAAATTATTCTGTGATTAAATTAAAAATAAAAAGGGCTGTCTCACCTTGTTAATCCTAACTCTCCCCAGTTGGAGGATTACCTTGTCCTACTTTGCATTTCACTAAAACACAGCTCTCAATATTCAAAGCTCTTCTGGACTTCTCAGTAAGTTTCCTTCAAGGAAGATGGCACAGCCAAGAGGCTTCCTGCCTTCAGGGTTCCAAAGAAGGATGACACTACCAAAGGTGCAGAAATCTGCAGGTTGGTGTTGCTGATGTTCTCTGTGCAGGTTAAGATTTGCCTAGCTGTTTTCAAACTTCCAGCAGTTTCTCCTCCATTTGTTTTCTTTGAGCTGCAGAAAAAAAACCTCAAATACAAAGGATTTCTCTGAAGTTCTTACTGTTTTCTGACTTATTTTTTAAGATTTCCTCTGTTTACCACTCTCTTTTCAATTTTACAGTACTTCATTTTAAAAATATTTTCTTGAATTAACTTGCCCAGTAGAGGTGAAAGGGATTCCCCCTCACTTTAAATCCTAGTATGAGAACATCCCAACCAAAACTACGTAGACTAATCAGTTCACTCAAAACCAAACAAAGATGATGAGGAAACCAAATATATAAACAAACATGAATCTTGCAGGATTAAGAGGTCTAGGAATCAAAGATCATATGCCTTCAAAAGGCTTTTCCTTTCTAACTCAGAATAATGCTTTCCCATCTCTTCAAGTCTCATGTGAAAATTGACTCTTCCTTTCTTCACTTTCCACCATCTCTAAAGAACACAGCAGTCTGAACAGTGGTCAGACATTAGTTAGAGGATTAAAACTACTGTGATCTTAAAGGCTACTCAAAGCTTTCAGCTTATTTCAACCAAAGCAGCATAACTAAACTGGTGATACTACCCATCTGCTCAATGGAATTAATTAAAAAGAAGTGCAAAAAAGCCAGCCTTGTCTGCTTGCAGACTGTCAGCACAGGTACATTTTACTACTACTAATTCAGGAGCAATAGGACATCAATTTATGTTCTGTTCACAACTGGAGGACTGGTCTTATAATCTCATGTCCATGATTTACATGCTCCCAAGATTTCCACTGCCAAGGAATGGTTTTGCTGTTCCTGCAGAGTGCAGCAGTCACAGCAGTACAGCCAGTTGTCTTGGATCTCTGCTAGCCAAGACCAACTTTGAGCAGAGCTCTGCAGAAAGGAAACCAAGCCCTAACTAAATTAGGCTAAATGATAAAACAAAGAAGAAATAAATCAGGGAAGACTTCTCTGAAGGCTCTTCTTTGTGGGGCAGACCACTCAATGGTATATTACTCAGTACTTCCTCCATTCCTTTCAAGCCCAGTTTCCCCAGGACTGGTACTATTTCACACCTGAGCAATCATGCTAGAGAGAGATTAGCAGTTTTTATCTTGAACTGTTTGTTAAGATCCAGTTGATACAAGTTTCAGATTCATATTTCACCACCTCAACCTACATTTTGCATGAGTGCTTCTGCTACTACCAGCCACCTACGCTCCAGTCCTGCTTTCAAGTGGATACAATTTGTACCAAAGACGTAATATACTGTACAGCTGCACACTGTATAATGTTCTCATCATTAAGTGTCACTTGTTTTCACATCTTAATTTGCATGCAACAGCCTGGAGGAAACCTCTGGTAGCGTTAAGGGATCTCAATTAAACAGTAACAACTTAGTTTAGCTAATCAACTCTATTGTCACAGCACACAAAAAGCTGAGGCACACATATGGAAGGGAATCACTAGTAGCACAGGTTAGACAGTGACATCCTGGAGAATGAGTAGATGGAGGCTGTTTGCCATGAGGCTGTGCAGAGAGTGGAAGATGTGATCCTGCAGTAAAGCAACTGCTACCTCAACAGTTTTACTTTTGCTTACAGATGATTCACCAGCAAGGCCGGAGTCAATGAGCATAAGTGGCAATGGATGTAATTGTTTGAGATAGAAAAGTACATTTCAAATATAGAAGTATAAAAAGCAGATGGAACCTCCTGTGATTCATGAACGCGGGGGGGGGGTAGGAATCATGAGCAATCTGTAGTGTTTATAGCTGTATACAAGTTTCACAGGCACTTTTGACCCAAGATGTCAAGTACTTAAGAAAATGACAGATTGTGGCAGAAGTCTGGTGGACAAACAGAGAGACTTAGCAATATCAGGAGACAAGGCAATTTCAGTAGGAAGAATTCCAATACGCAATAAGAGTAATTTGTAGGGAGGAATATATGTGTGAAAAGCAGTTTGGGATATTGCTGACATTCTTTTAAGGAGTAATCTCACAGTTGCAAAGAAGAATCAAGGTGAATTACATTCCTAATTTCAGAGCTAACAAATATTTTTGTATATCGGGCTGTCCTGAACATTCCATTACATCTCTATCATGTCTTCCTGCTCACTAATCTATCTCAGGGCACCAAGGATAAAGTAACTCCTCAGTACAACAGGTACTGATTAACGCGCTAAACAGGACTTTAAAAGTAATCCAACTGTTTAATTCTGACCCAGTTATTCGTTGAAGGACTGCTATATTAAAAAAAAAATAACAATAATCACAGCAGAATATAAAGTAAAGGTGTTATGCAAACACTCCACCTAACCTTCAATGATTCCAAAATTGCTCTGCAAGTAAAATAAACAAATAGATCAAGAAACTCTACCCATTCCAACTTACCCCAATTTGAAAGAGTTCCCCAGCACCTTCACAGTCGTTTGATGTAATTATGGGAGTATGAATATGCACATAGCCATTATCCTGGAACAGACAGAACATGCAAAGTTAACTAGCTGAAGATATCAAGTATCAACTTCAAAGATTATCTCAACCAGAACAAATCACAACTCAGCTATCAGACCCCAACCAGGACAGTACGTGCAGCCTTTTAGGCAACTTCTGCCTCTCATGGACAGAAACAAGAGGACTACAAATCCAAGCATGTTACTTGTGCTTTGCACCCGTATTTCCTAAAGATTTATGCAACTACTACATGATTTGCAACTGCTCATCTCCACAACACTCCCTCTAAATTGGAAAGACATGGATCTGATGGATGGACCACTTACTGGATAAGGAAAGGGTGGATGGCCACAAAGAGCTGTGGTCAATGGCTCGATTCCCAGATAGAGATCAGTGATAAGTGGCATTCCCAGGGGTCATTACTGGGACCCGGAGCTGTTTAACATCTTTGTCACTGGGACTGATTGCACCCTCAGAAAGTGACACCAAGACAGTGACACCAAGACAGTGACCAAGTGACACCTCAGAAAGTGACACCAAGCTGAGTGTTGCAGTCAACACGTTGGAGGAAGAGATGCTATCCAAAGAGACCCAGACAGGCTTAGAAGGTGGGTCTGTCTGAACCCTGAAATTGAAAAAGGCCAAATGCAAGGTCCTGCACTTTGGTTGAGGCAAGTCCAAGCACAAATACAACCTGTGCAGAGAATGTATTGAGAGCAATCCTGTGAAGAAGGACTTAGGGCTGCTGGCTGATGAGAAGTTCAAAATGAGCTGTCAAAGTGTGATCGTGGCTCAGAATGCCAACTGTGTCCTTGTCTGCATCAAGATCAGGGTGGCAGCAAGTCAAGCAAGGCAATTGTGCCCCTCTACCTTACTCCTGTGAGGCCACACCTGCAGTACTGCATACAGCTCTAGGGCCTCCAATACAAGGACTTGTTTTCTCTTGCATCACTGTAATGCCCAGTAAAAGGGAACCCTTCTAAAAATGAGGGTGTGCCAGCATTACCACGATACAGGCAATGATGAAGCATAACCCATTATCTTACTTACACAAAACACTAAAAACCACCAAACAAATAAAGAGTGCTCATAAAAGCTAAGAATCACAGATTTTGCCAGGGTAATACAATTCAATTCACACCACAAGTTCTGACTCTTATCATCAACTAGTTAAATGACTAGGAAAACAGGAATAGGACTTAATGTTCAAACAGAATCAAACTAAAATGAATTAGGACCAAAGAACTCATATGGACATGCAGTGTATTTTGTAGAAGTAATCTAACACAACCAAGAGAGAGCAAAGTCCCCACAGTCAGCTCCAAGCTACCTTGGTTACAGGTGCAAAGACCTTAGCTCGCCCAGGTGCTCCTCACAGAGATCCACTTACTGGTTTTCAAACATCTTTCTGTGCACAACTATTTGCTTTGCCTGGGAAGGAACTTTTAGCCTATCAATACGAAGTGCAGCTCTCTCCTGTATCCCCATGCATATTCTGGAGACCTGCTGGTCATGGGTCCTCTCACTGCCCCTTAAGACTTCAGAATACCCCCCCCTTTTTTCTTCTTTTTCTTTTTTACAGCAACAGTTTATACCACATGAGAGATGATACATGTTTCAAACTCCTTTCCAAAGCACCTAAGGGAACTTCTGCGTGACCTGCAAAGGTCAGAAAACCTCCCTACAGCCCTGCAGAGCAAAAAGGCTGTGGCTATACTTCCCAGCAATCATACAACCTCACAACATCGAGTTTGAAACTGCAGCATTTTTGGGACAACGTAGGTGGCAATTTAAAGGGAATGCTTTCCTTCCATCAGAATTGAAAAAAGCTACAGCCATCCTTGGTGCTTGGAGTCGTGACATCAGCATTTGCAAATAGCAGGTACTCCTCATCTTCTCCTCATCTCTTAACTTTACTGTAGCTGCTGATGATAAAATACTTCACATTTTGCAATAATTCTGAGCAGTTTAAACAGAAATGCATCAGCCTGAGCTGGGATTAAGTTGGAGAAGTAAAGCCTTTATCAGAATATGATGCTTTTTGGTATCAGCTGGCTTCCTTGCAGGTTTGAAATGACAAAGTTTTGTAGGTATTGCCACCTAGTGGCTCAATACCAGCAGAGACCAACTCCCAGCAAAGTCACGTTCTGTGTTATGAGTAGGCACAATGCTGAAACTAACAGCAGCTTTAACTGACACGATATAACTATTAAGCTCTTAAAACACAATCTTTAAAATACCACACAATTTCATACAGACAAGTCTCTGAGTGAGCAAGCACGCTTTCTTTGTCACTACAAGCAGAAAGTAAGCGCACACTCTGGACCAGAAATTCAACCTCAACAATTCCAATCTGTTCTTTCAGACTTTCTGTAATAATAGGAATGCTGTGCATATGATTCTACACCAGCTAAAGCCAGTTTATGTCAACTGAAACACAAAGAATAGCTGTAAAAGAAAGAGCTCCAGCTTGTTAGAGGACTTGCTTTCTGACTTTACATACTCACATGGTCTCTGTACAGCATCTGGAATTAGAGTTAATTCACTGCCTACACCCTGCCCACAGCTTGAGGATGGGGACATTTTCATTAAATATAGGTATTTACACTCTATCAGTTTGAAAAGCATTAAAACAGAAGCATCTTAATCTCAGCTAACACTATCAACACAGACTTGCATAGAGAGATAAAAAGAATTGACAGCAATAACATGAAGATTTGAGCCTGTTTCTCTGTTGCTTTCCAGTATCACAGATATTTCCACGTAGGAGGAGGCTACTGCCCAAGGTCACTGCTGAGAGTGAGTTAAATAATTCCTTATTATGCTGTGTTTTACAGACCACACACAGTTGCAGGCAATTATACTGCAACTAAAAATAACAGGAAAACAGGTGGAAAGACACTGAAAAGACCACCAGTGTGCAAACCTCACCATCAGCAACACCCTGGTCAAGGCTCAGTCTGGCCAGACCTGAAAAAACACCTCCATGCAGCAAACACATGATGGCCCTTTCCTCTTAACATGTTCCTGTGAGGCCTCAACCAGGTAGTGGTCTACATATAAAGCTCAGGACAGTGAGGACTACCTGGAAGAATGAGTGGATTGCTGCCGTGGCTTCACTGCGGATTCTCAGGAGGGCTCCAAGTGCATTGCTTCTGCATCGCAAGTGTGGGAACTGTCGGACATACTCCAGTGGGTGCCTCTCCTTTATTTTGAAGGGGAATGACTAAAAGCAACAAGCCAAGAAATACAAGACGATGAGAATATGGAGTCAGTACATCTTTATTGCCATGCATGGAATAGCAATCTCCACATTCTAAAACTCAATCACCATTACAGAGCAAAGAGGGGGGAAAAGCATTTTTTCCTCATCTTCTCTCATACTTTGTGGATGTACATTTTATTTTTTAAATTTTTCTAAGCCATGAACAGAAGTAGCAGCACTCTGAAATGCTTCATCTTTTGGAAGTTGAGCCCCTTGAAAGTCAACTGTTCAACTCACTGCTGCAATAGTGAGCTGTTCCCAAACATGCTTGCAGCAGATTCTTCTGCCTTCACAATCTGGAGCAGTTAGCCAGATTCATTGCTTCCCTGATTCTTGGCTAGAGTTACCAGGTAAACCACATAGCCCAGAAAACTGCTTCAGGGTGGGACAAATGCCCTCATTCAGCTGCCAACATTTGCACCTGTTTCCACACAGGAACAGCACTGCCCCAGAGGAGAGCATTCAAGGCATTCCTATCAATTTTCTTCCTCAAATGATGCACCCTACATACACTGCAGCCAAATCAAAGTCTGCAGGCATACTGAGTTGGAAAACAAACAGCACAGTTTGAAGCACACTCTACTGGACAGTTGGGCATTTTGGCTTTCATTCCCAAAGTGCTCCTACCAGTTGGACTCCCTGCTGCAGTGACATACCAAAGTATCACAAGGTCCCACCACGTGAATGGCTTCAGCTTGCAGCTCCACATCTTGCATCTTGTGAGGGCTTTTGACCAGTTTCCCTTGCACTTCCACTGCACTTCCAAAAGTCAGGTCTCTATGAAAACAGAAGCAACAACAATTCACCAGCTGTTAATACAAAGGCAACTACAATTTAACAGCAAGTTAGATTTGGTTTAGATTAGATATTAGGAGGAAGTTTTTCACACAGAGGGTGGTGACACACTGGAACAGGTTGCTCAAGGAGGCTGTGGATGCCCCATCCCTGGAGGCACTCAAGGCCAGGCTGGATGTGGCTCTGGGAAGCCTAGTCTGATAGTTGGCGACCCTGCACATAGCAGGGGGATTGAAAATAAATGATCTTTGAGGTTCTTTTCAACCCAGACTATTCTATGATTCTATGAAATGAGAATAAATTCACACTAGAACAATTTAGGACAATGGAGTGTTGGACAAGAGAGAGGAACATGGGTTTTTATAAGAACACATTGATGTGGACAAATGAAGCTTGTAACAAAAATAAAACATATCAAGTAATGCACAGAAGGTTCCTGGACTGTCATGAAACCCCCGAAGTACAACTAACAGTAACAAAATGAAGCTGAAAATCAAGTGCATTATTCTATTATCATCTGACAACAGAACAGGCATGCCCATCTAGGAAGTATGCCAACTCAGCCATCTCTCAATCAGCACAGTAAGAACAACAGTGGTCATCAAAAACCTGGAGAACATTCATCCTCAAAAACAGAGTGCAATTTCCAAGCAGGTCCAACAGTAGTCCAGAACACCCTCACTACTACAGCTACCAAGAAAGTGAGATCCAAATTAATCTGACAGGACAAGCAGCTGAACCCCAAAGCCACTGCTCTATCTGAAAAAACACAACCAGGGACCTCAAACTGCAGCTGTTTCTTTCCTATGATCAGGTGCCAGCTGCTGGAGGCTCCTCCAGCACTGTGGCACAAGAAAGGAGGTCTCAGGAGACCCCTCTGAGCATTGATCAACAACACACATATTTCCCCAGGTATCGCAAACTGACTCACCTACACTCCAGACTGGGATCAGCAACCACCTGGAGGCTTTCCAGAGAGCTCCCATCATTTACATGCAGGAACAAAACCTCCTTCTGGGATCGGACGGAGCGGACCCAGCCCTAAAGGTAAAAGGAAAAGAAATTTGTTATTTCTTGTCATCAGTTCCATATAATCATGTTTCTTTTTGTTGTTTTCTTCCCCTCCCCCGAAGAGCTGGACACGCCACAGCAGGCCTATTTCAGCTTTTCACTGAAATCAAAGGAAATATTTCTCTATGAGGAAGTTGGAAAAAAAAACAACAACAACCCAACAATGTCATTTTTTTCTATTCACTTCAAAGCAAATAGCAACAAAACCTTAGGCAGAGACATCAGCTCTCCCCAGGAGTAAAGCAAGCATAACTAAGATCTACCTGCATCTCTGTGCAGATTAGAATAACGAAACTGGCAGAGTGCTTTGAAGATGAAAAGCATTTTAGCAACGTACACATTTCTATTAGTTATTTCCCTCATGAGCATTTTTATTGCAGCTGTGCAGGAATGCACAGTGCTTTAAGTGAAAATACTCCAGGCTATTTTGACAAAGTTAGTACCAATCTTTGTTGCAGCAGCGCCTGTATTTTGGTTCCAATTGGAAATGGTTCACTAGTTGTTTTTGATTATATGCCCAAAGCCACTGGACTACTGAAACAATGACACTACAGCCAATTCACTCTGACACTTCTTCATGTTTCTCTTTATGCCTTAAAAAAATCAATATTGCCATGCTGTCCCCATTGAAAAAAAAAGCAAAAAAACATTCTTAGCTATTTTGAACCAAAGAATTAAGTCAGTGGTTCAGTGAGAGATGAATAGAGGTTATGGGAATGAGGATTGTTCCACCTGGAGAAGGCTCCAGGGGGATCTTTCTGTGGCCTTCCAATATATAAAAGGGGCTCATAAGAAAGAGTGACAGGACAAGGGGCAACCAGATGTAGACTGAAAGAAGAGAGATTTAGATTGGGTATAAGGAAGAAATTCTGACTGCCCCATCCCTGGGAGTGCCCAAGGACAGGCTGGATGGGGCTGTGGGTAGCTTGATCTGGTGGAAGGAATCCTGTCTGTAGCAGAGGTCAGGAACAGATGGGCTGAAGGCCCCTTCCAGCCCAAATCAGTCTGCAATTCTATGATGCATTTTAGGAAATGAAATATGAAATAAAATAATCTAAAATGTACCAAGACACCAAGCAAAACACAATTAAATGCAACGTTCTGCACTTAGGCAGGAGGAATCCAGGCATGTATCCAAACTGGAAGTAGCAATCGTTGAGAACAGCCTAGCAGAGAAGGACCTGGGGGTCCTGATGGATGAAAAAACAGAGTGTGAGCCAGCAGTGAGCTCTTGCAGCTCGGAAAGCAAAAGGTATCCTGGGCTCCATCAAAGAGGGGTGGCCAGCAGGACAGGGAGGTGATTGTCCCTCACTACTCTGCCTTTGTGAGGCACCACCTGGCACACTGTGTTCAGGTCAGGGGCCCCCAGTACAAGAAAGACAGGGAGCTGTTGGAGAGAGTCCAGAGGAGAGCCACAAAGATGAACAGAAGGCTGGAGCACCTCTCATACAAAGACAGGCTGGGGGAACTGGGCTTGAAGAAGGCTGTGCAGTGACCTCATTGCAGTCTTTCAGTACCTAAAGGGAGCCTACAAACAGGAAGGGAATCAGCACTTAGAAAGGGTAGATAACAGCAGAACAAGGGGAAATGGTTTTAAGTTGAAGGAAAGAAGATTTAGGTTGGATGCCAGGGAGAAGTTCTTTACTATGAAAGTGGTGAGGTGCTGGAACAGCTGCCCAGAGAGGTTGTGGATGCCCCGTCCCTGGAGGTGTTCAAGGCCAGACTGCATGGGACCCTGGGCAGCCTGGCCTAGGATTAAACGTGTAGGTTGGTGGCCCTGCATGTAGCAGGGGGTTGGAGCTTCATGATCCTTGAGGTTCCTTCTGACCCGGGCCATTCTGTGATTCTATGATTCTATGAAATGCAAGGCATCCAAAATGCAACTCCCCTAGCAGCTCCTCACCTCACCAGAGCAAAGACAAAGCTGCTCTTATAACAAAACCTGTCCACTGGGAAGTTTCCTGCTCACGTTATGACAATTCTGCAGAACCCTCAAATCTCCTGCACAGGAAACACCTGCCAAAGTGTGCAGGGCAGGTGCATGTAAGAAATGTGAAAGAAGTTTATGCCATAAAACTAAGGATTACCAAAAATTCAGCCTTTCTTTCAGCCTCACAAATTCAGATACACGTTTACCTGAGCATCCTCTGCAGGTGGTTCCACTTGAAGCAGTGTTAATGCAAAAAAAAAACACAAAAAAACAACTAAGTCCAAAACAAAAGTTTGATTATCTGGCATGGCATCCTCATATGTTTTGTACAAGGTGTTTTGTACAATAACATTCCTGAGGCTACTGTGCCTGTCTCGTGTATTCCAGTAAAACCCCCAGAACAGGTACATGATGCATAATGGTAGATGTTTTTCTTAGTTTCCTTCCTTGCAAGGACATAAAAAAACCCCAAACAAAGAAACGTTCTTGATGGCTTTTTTCTACCTTAAGCAGCACCAGGATTTGTTAAACAAGATGAGTCTTCCAGCCTCCCACAGGAAAATATCAGTGTGCCCTCAGGCTTACAACAGAGCAGCAGAGGCTGTAGCATAAGTTTTTGGACCACTTCATACCCTACCAAAAGCACTGCTAAGTGCCAGTCTCAATTCAGATCAGATTGCAACTTCCAGTAACTAAAACTACTCACAATAAGAATCATTTTAAGCCAGATCAGTTCTCTGGCCCAGCTTAATGCAAAAGCACGCGTGTCAACACAAGGGAAAGACAACAAAGAATCAAGGAAACAAAAAGGAAGTACTGCCAATATTAGCAGCATCTTATTCTAGAATGCATAATTCATAAAACTACAGATGAGAAGCACCTGTATTAAGCTCCTTCCTTCTCTATTAGGCTGTACATAATCATAGAATGGTTTGGATTGGAAGGGACCTTGAAGAAGTTCCAACTCCCCTGCCATAGACAGGGCATCTCTAGTAGGCAGATCTGGTCTCGTGGTAGACCAGGCTGCTCGCAGCCCCATCCAGCATGGCTATGAATGCCTCTATAGTGGGGCATCCACAACCTCTCTGGGCAACCCGTGCCAGTGTCTCACCACCCTCACAGCAAGGAATGTCTTCCTAGCATCCAGGTGTGTGGGGACACGTGGACGCGCTGCTATTCGTCAGTGTAATCTGCTATAGGAACTGCCGTTCCCTGCACACCTGCGGGGTAATCGCAAAGCTTCGCATCCAATCTAACGATCACCAAGCGATCAGGGACGGCAGAGCCGGACGGCGAAGGGGACCAGACAGTTTTACAAAACGCTAAAACTAAAGCCCCCAACTCCGAAGCTGAGGACCTGGTGGCTCCTCTCCCTTTCTCTCCGGCCGCAGGTCGCGTTACCGCCTGGGAGTCGCTACGCCGCCGCCACACACCTGCACCTTCACTTTGCCCGCCGCTTCCCGGGCCCCCAACGCCTCCCGGACCCGCAGCCGAGCCGCCGGAACCCGCTGCTCCCGCGGCAGTGAAGAGAAGCAGCGGCGGAGAGCCCTCCACCCGCCCCGGGTCCCCAGCATGGCAGCGGCCGGGCACGCCTGGTGCCCTCGGAGCGTCCCCGCCTCACGTGACCCTCGCAGCCAATGGCCGCTCGGCGGACTCCCCCAGCGCACCAATCGGAAGGGAGAGCGCCAGCTCGCAAGGACTGCGTTTTCCGCCGATCGGGCGCAAGGCCTTCTGGGAAATGTAGTTCGCAGAGGGGGGGTTGTGGCAGCTTAGTACTTGTGGGTGGCTCTTTCACTGCCACTCTTTAAGGAAGAGAGGGAGTAAATATTGTAGGCTCATAGAACAGCTGGGATTTGGAAGGGACTTTAAAGATCTTTCACAGAACCACCAAGGTTGGAAAAGACCTACAGGATCATCCAGTCCAACCATCCACCTATCACCAATAGCTCTCACTAAACCATGTCCCTCAACACAAAATTCAAACGTTCCTTGAACACCTCCAGGGTTGGTGACTCCACCACCTCCCTGGGCATCCATTCCAGTGCCTGACCACTCTTTCAGAGAAGTAGTATTTCCTAACTTCCAGCCTGAATCTCCCCTGGCACAGCTTGAAGCCATTCCCTCTAGTTCTATCACCAGTTACACGAGAGAATTGGCTGACCCCCAGTTCGCTACAACCTCCCTTCAGGAAGTTATAGAGAGCAATGAGGTCTCCCCTGAGCCTCCTCTTCTCCAGGCTGAACATTCACAGCTCCTTCAGCCTCTCCTCATATGGCCTGTGTTCCAGACCCCTCACCAGCTTTCTTGCCCTCCTTTGAACACATTCCAGGGCCTCAATGTCTTTCTTGCAGTGAGGGGCCCAAAACTGGACACAGTACTCGAGGTGCGGCCTCACCAGAGCTGAGTACAGGGCAACGATCACTGTTCCTGCTGGCAACACCATCCTGATGCAGTTCAGGATGCCATTGGCCTTCTTGGCCACCTGGGCACGCTGCTGGCTCATGTTCAGCTGAGCATCAATCAATACCCCCAGGTCCATTTCCTCTACACAGTCTTCCAACCACTCTGCCCCAAGCCTGTAGCATTGCCTGGGGTTCTTGTGGCCAAAGTACAGGACCTGTCATTTGGTCTTGTTGAAACTCATCCCATTGGCTTCAGCCCAGCTATTCAGCCTGTCCAGATCTCTCTGAGTTCCACCCCTCTACTGTGGGCTCAAGGGCTGAGATGAGGACAGGGAGGTGACTCACCTATGACCACAGCAGGCAGAACAGACTTGAGCATAGGGAAATCAATGTGATCTATTGCCTACTGCTAACAGACTGGAGCAGCAAGAACTAAAAGCAAACTACAAACACCTTCTTCCTAGCCCCTTATTCTCCCCTTCAAGCAGCATAGGGAAATGGAGAATGGGAGCTGTGATCAATCCATAACATTTCATATCTGCTGCTCCTCTGTGATCACTCTGTGCCTCTGCTCCACCCTGGTTCCACCTACTCCTCTCCTTGGGCTGCAGCTCCAGCCCACAGTCAACTTTTGCTGGTTCTCCATGGTCTGCGGATTCCTCCAGGCCACATCTACTGCTGCAACATCAGCTATTCCACTGCTGCATGTGGACATCTGCTATGTGTGCTGCCTATGGGCTGCAGGCGGACAGCCTGCTTCACCATGGGCATCTTTTGGGCTGCAGGGAACTGTGTGCTGCTCCACACTTACTGAGTGTACCTTCAGTAAGTTTGCAGAAGATACCAAGCTGGGAGAGAGTGTTGATCTGCCAGAGGGGAGAAAGGCACTACAGTGTGAGTTTCAATAGGGCCAAGTGTCAGGTCCTGCATTTTGGTCAGAACAACTCCAGGCAGTCTTACAGGCTTGGGGGTGAATGGCTGGAAAGCTGCCTGACAGAAAGGGACCTTGGTACACTGATGGATGGTTGGCTGAATATGAGTCAGCAGTGTGCCCAGGTGGCCAAGAAGGCCAATGCATCCTGGCTTGTATGAGGAATGCTGTGGTGAGCAGGACTAGGGACGTCATCCTGCCCCTGTGCTCTGCACTGGTGAGGCTCCGTCTCGAGTATTGTGATCAGTTTTGGGCATCTCAGTACAGAAAGGACATGGAGGTGCTGGAGCAGGTCCAAAGAAGGGCAGTAAGGCTTGTGAAGGGCTTGGAGAATATGGCCTATGATGCTCCTTTGGAGCAGGTTGCAGGCCCTACTCATGACATGGCACCAGGGACTCTGATAGGAAAGAATTGAAGGGAGAGGCCACTCTCCTCAGCAGCAGTTCAGTATGGTGATGTGGAGCATGCTGCAGTGGGTTTTTGCACCTGTAGCACCTGTCTGCCATCGTCCCACTCTCCTGTCCTTCTGGGTGACCGTCTTGCTTTCCCACGCACGGTGCTAACGGAATGAAGATGTGAAACATTGCCATTCAGCTTCATGCTCCCAATTTCCTTCCCCTCCCAAGTGGCAGCAGCATCTACCCTCAGGCCAGGAGATGCTGGGAAGCAGCTTTGTTAGCAGCACTGCTTGCAGGAAGACAAACCGCTGCCTCACTGCATGGTCTTGGCTAAGAAAAAATGGCGAGAGACCTCATTTAAAAGAAATAAGCTGAGCTCATGGGAAAGAGAAGAGGAAAGCTTTGTAGATACTTGGTTTTTACTTTCCCCTGTGGTGCTTTTTATCTATGAATAAGAAGCTTGTCCTCAAAGTCCTCACACAGCTTGCTGGGGCCTTCCTTCACCTCTCTTTTTTCTTCTAGTCAGTGATGTCCCCACCCATGGCTCTCAGTCTAGACCTGAGCTCTGAGCTCCCTTAGAAGGCCATCCCGAGGAATTAGAGGTGTGATCAGGGGCACAGGCATATCTCTGTGGAAGAGAAAGAAAGTCACAATAAGGACAGGAGACCACAGAAAGGGACGCAGAAAGGGTGGGTGGGAGTTAGGCTAGAACCAATGTGGAGAACTTGATAGCTGGTTTCATCTGTCCTCTGTGCTCATGCAAGGGATCAGGAAGAGTGCCTGGATACACATGCGGTAGTACTGGATAGGAACTCACAGCCTTACATCTGCTGGTGCTTCTTACTTGGCAGAATTAGTTTTCTTTTAATGCCAGCCACTTCTCTGTTCTATAAGGGCCAGTACTGAGTTTGCTAAGTGTTAACACAGTGACATGATGTGGCTTCTTAGGGAATCACAGTGCAGGAAGGAGCTGGTACTGCTGTGGTGAGAGACAGAAATACAGAAACTGGTAGGAAATTAGTTCCCTACTGTTCAGGAAGCTGCTGGCTTTATGTGAGAATTAAATGAGTATGTAATAAGTGTTCAGTGTATGTTAGGTCTTCTCTCTACCAGGTCGCAGATGGTACTACATTTATTACTTTTCATCTGTAGATTTTGCCTCTAGTATTTGGCTCATTGTGTCCCAGAACATTTTTCTCCAGGATAGCTTGACTCATAGAACTATCTCCAGCCTGGATAAACTATTTATTTCAGAAAAAACTTGGGGGTAACACCAATGCCAGCTACTGATTGCATGAGGTAAGAGGTAAGGTTCTTCCTTCACATCCCTATGCACCAGGGCCACCTATGGGTCTTTGAGAGAAGTGAATAACTTGGCAAATCTGGCCTCAGATTTCTAACACTTGTTATGATCTTGTCCCATCCATCTGAATAACTTTCCTTCTGAAGATGGAATGGTTTTACTGGAGAGAGCAGAACTTTGGTCCATCATCCCTGAAAGAAAATGAGGATGAAGCATTAGTCATTTTGCTGTGAGCTGCTCCAGGCTCCTGGATTGCAGATAACATTTGTGTGCTAATGAATACAGTTCCAAGCAAGCTTTTTAAGAGGACACAGGGACAGATGGGTGTTAGAATATTCCCAAAGCTCTCCAACAAACATCAGTTTGTTCCTCTCAAAGCTGACCATTCTCCTGTCACTGCTGGCTGCTGTCCTTACTGGACAGATATTCTGTAGTGTTGATAACATGAATAACAGTCCCAGTGACAAACACAGGTTGCAGGTTGTTTCAGTTCATCCTCATGGGCCTATACAGTGCTAGAGCTAGCCCATGTGTCTGTTCCCTTTCTGGTACCTGAACTGGGTTTCCTGGAGCCAGTTTGGGTATCTAAAAAGGATATGGCAGTGTCTAAATTTGTGCTCTTCTTCCTTCCCGCAGAAAAGAGTTCTAAAAGGTCTCCAGAGGACACTAGTGTTGTTTTTGCATCAGTTTAATAATGTAAGTCTGAGCTGAGAGGCAGAAAGCCAATTGTCAGGATGTCTGCAGGGAGAGAAGCTTAAAGAATGGCGAGTAATGATCATTCTCTTACACTCCCTGCTGGTTGTAGGGTTTGGCGAGAAAGTTTGAAACGATGGTGGTGAAGAACTTCCAAACAAGGAGCATCAGTTTTTGGATGGGAGTGGACAATTAGTGATGTGCTTGTAAGTCATCACCTTGTTGGCATCATCACCTGGCAGGAGAAATGCTCTGAAAAGCCTCCTCTATGCATGTTTCATCCTGGTGCTTTTACTCCATCTCAAAGTTCAGCCTCCTCATCCACGCACTGCACAGCTTTCTGTTCCCTCACTTCATTTTGTCTACCGAGTAGAGGAGGAATAGCTCCATGCAGTTCTGCTTTTGAAGTAAACCTGTCCCTGTTTCCTTCTGATGCTGAGGTTTTAGCTAGCACATTCCCATGATAATTGTCTGGAATTGTGACCTCTTTCAGGCCTCAAGAAGAGCAACTGGGAGAGAGGATTTCTCAGTCAAGATACCAGAGAGTCCATTAAAGAAATGGAGCGTTCCCAAGCAAGAACATCTAGGGAAGCCACCCAGATCTGGCTGGGAAGTGGAACTAATAACAAGGAACAGAGTGGGAGTGATGTGAAGCAAAAAATCAAATCCTGACTCCTTCAAGAAGGCTCTTGTCTTTCTAGTAGCTGATAACTGAACATGTTTTCTTGGCATAGTTAGGAACTGGAGATGCCATTATAGCAAAACTCTGCCCTCAGATCTGGCTTTATGGAAATCTTTTCCATCTTTTTACTTCTGTCAGCCCAGAGCATGTATTTCCCAGCAGTGGCCTCTCTTTCTGATTTCAGTGAG